CTCACAGAGATCCAGAGGGATTTCTATCTCTGGAATGCTAGGATTAAAGGTGTGAGTGCCACCATTTTCTAGCCTTTGTATCTAGTGGCTGTCTGTTCTCTGACCCCAGATAAATTTATTAGAGTACACAATATTTTGGGGAACACAATACCACTACAGTTGAGAACCACTGTTGTAGATGCTGTTGTTGGTTTATGGGACATGTATTAAGACCCCATCTTCAAATGTCCCCGCCCCCCCCCCCATTTCTTCCTAGAGTCTTAGACAAAGGATTGTACTGTTAAACCTAAGTTTAACAGTTTATCAGTGGGTCTCAGCAGGACCGGCACAAACCTTCAAGATAAGGAACTCAGAATGTGTTCTTTTGAGACAGGGCCTTGTATAGCCTGGGCTGGCCTCAACTCACTGTGTAGCCAAGGGTGACTTGAGTCATGGAATTCCTGATTCTTGTGCTGCTGTCTCCCAAGGGCTGGGATTACAGGCATAGGGCATCGGGCTAGGTTCCTAAGTTAGTTTTTATTAGTAAAAGGGACCATAACCTTTATATGTATATATACATATATATATGTGTGTGTATGTATGTATGTATACATATATATGTATGTATATATACACATACATATATATATACGAATGTGAATGTGTGATATTAAATATGTAGGTGTAGTATTCAAAACACTCTACATGTGCTACCCCAAAACACGATACTCTGGCCTGTTGATTCTTTTGAGTTGAACATACTTGAAGAGTCAAATGCTGACATTTGAGGCTGTTTCTCATGTAGCCCAGGCTTGCGTGTCCTTCCAGGGACAGGAAGCTGGGGCTGTGAGCTCTGCATAAACACCGAGGGGAGCCGATCTTCCTGGGTTCAGTCATGTGGCCTCTGTCTCAACCTGCTGCTCTTTGTCCCATGCAGTGTGTTAGTATTCAGCTCCAGCTGTGTCTTTGAACCTACTCTTTACTATGAAGGCATGGCTCATATGAAATTTACATTAAATTATATATGCATATACATATTTGCCTTTCTCTTTATTTCTGTTTCACGTCAAGTTAATTATCAGACTTAGCTGAAAAATTCCAAGAGGATAGGAGACATTTTGCCTCCTATAGGATGTAATCCACATAATCTGTGTATATGTGGGTGTATGTGTACAGCCAGCCCTTCATAGATTGTACCAGCTGCAGATAACACATAATTTAGTGTCTGATGAGAGGGCTCAGTGGTTAAAAGTTGTGCAATCTTAAGCACCTAGTACCTGTGTAACAAGCCAGGCATCTACAAACACCTGTAACCAGCTCTGAGCGATCCAAAGCCCTCTTCTGGCCTCTGCATGCAAACAGGTGCAGGCATCCCCCCCACCCCCACCCCCCACCACACATCTACATGCAAATACACTCACACATACACATATAAACAAATAAAATAATTTTTTTTTTAAAAAAGAATGTTTTAAAATACTGGGGGAAACATCAGTACTGAACTGCACAGTTTGGTCATTATTTCTTGAGTGAAACAATGTACCTATGATTTACTTTTTTCTTACATTCCATTTGGTATCTTAAGTGAGCCAGAGATGATTTAAAGCAGGACTAGATGAAGACCCAGTACCAGGCTACTTCATATATGAGATAAGTACTTGAGGATTAGGGATTCTGAAGAGGGTGCTGGAAACAATCTTCTGTTGGACACCAAAGGATATTGAAATGTGTACAAGTGACTGTGTGTCTGTAAACCATATGCAGTGTTATGACACAGTGTGTTTTATGTGTGTGCACATGTATGTGTGTTTATGTTTTGTGCATGTGTTTCTTCTTTTTTTCTTTTCTTTTTCTTCTTCTTCTTTTTTTTTTTTTGGTTTTCAAGACAGATTTTCTCTGTATCTTTGGAGCCTGTCCTGTAACTCCCTCTGTGAACCAGGCTGGCCTTGAACTCACAGAGATCCTCCTATCTCTGCCTCCTGAGTGCTGGGATTGAAGATGTGCACCACCACCGCCCGGCATGTGTTTCTTTTTTAAAAAGTTACTTTTGCTTTTTTGTGTATGTGTGAACCTGTGTGAGTTGTGCACCATGTGTATGCAGTGTGGAGGCCAGAAGAGGGCATCAAATTCCCTGGAATTGGAATTGTGAGCTGTCATGTGAGTTCTGGGAAGTGAACCCAGGTCCTCTGCAAATGCAGCCATTGCTCTTAACCACTGGGCCATCTCTCCAGCCCCAGTGCATATATTCTTGTATATAAATGTATATAATGTTTGCATATGTGTGCATTTAAGTGTGTGTATATATGTATGTGTATCTATATTTGGATTTATGTGTATGCACATTTGTGTGCATATGTTTGTATGTGTATTGGTGTGTATGTACATGTAAGTGTGCATGTGTATGTATCTGTATACATAATTTGTGCAATTGTGTCTTATATGTATTGGAGTGTATAGGTGTATATAAGTGTATGTTTGTACACATAGCTGTGTGTTTGTGTGTATATGTCACATATTTGGGGGATGTAAAGCCTTGCCTTCACAGGAAAAGATTTCAAACCTAGCCGTCCTGCTTCCTCCTGGTGTGACTTAAGAACATTTTATGGTGATCTGCATATCTGTCTCTTGGGGAAAATGGGAATCATCACAGCACCTCCCTTGACATCATAAGGACCAATTGAAGACCAGTGTTCAGGCCAGGCAGTCAGTAGCCATGGAGTGCTGTCCCATGTTCACAATGCATCCTGTGGGAAGGACAAGTGACGGAATCCTGGTTGGCCACACTCAGGCGATGTCTCACTCAACAGCCAGCCCCCAGACTCTGCCTGGCCTCTGCGACAGTTAAACCGGTGGTTCTCAAGCTTCCTGACGCTGTGACACTCATGTTGTGGTGACTCCCAATCATAAAATTGTTTCAGTGCTGTGCCGTAACTGTAATTTTACTACTGTTATGAATCATAATGTAGATATTTTTAGAGACAGAGGTTTGCCAGAGGGGTCGTGACCCACAGGTCGAGAACCCTGAGCCACACCATCCGCGACAGTAGCTTGTCTCAGAAGCTGTGGGTTTCTCGTTGTATGCCACTGCAGCAGTCTGACGCGTCTGCTGTGAACTGCACGCCTCTAAGGCCTGTTCTCGCTGAGTTGGCAGATTCAGTGATTGAGATTGTGAATCAAGAGGACGCCGCCTGGGCCTGGGAGGCGCTGCGGCGGCCGAGGGCTTGGCTCCTGTGCACGGACGGGTGTTGGGTTCCATTCTCAGTACTGTAAAAGACTTTTCTTTGAAGGGGAATTTGTGTCCTGGGCCTGACAGTGCACTGCCTCCCTTGGGTGCTTCCCAGAGTTCTTTGTGGCCTTCAGTGTCTCCCTCCTCCCGTTGATGTCATACCTAGTACCTGACTCTAAAGGACACCTCTCCCTTTTCTCCTAGGATACTTGGGGTGAACTCCTAATTGGTGATGTGGAGATGAAGAGGGTGTTGAGCTGCCCCAGGTAAAGAGTGGGCTTGGACGTGGCCTCTGGGGTGTGGAGTGCACTGTGGTTTGCAGCCGTCATCTAAGTGTGGGTCTTTGGCAGGTGCATTTTGACTACAGTGGACCCAGACACTGGGATCATAGACAGGAAGGAGCCGCTGGAAACCCTGAAGAGGTAGGACACCGGTGTGTGTGTGTGTGTGTGTGTGTGTGTGTGTGTGCGCGCGCGCGCGCGCGCGCGCGCGTGCCCCGTCTTGATGTCACCTGTGCCCGAATTACCTGTGTACCAGGTGCTTGTGTCCCGGCTCCCAGGCGCCCCTGTGATTTGTATCACTCCTTCAATGCGTGTGAAATTCTTCCTCTTTTTGTTTCTTTAATTTTCTGATACATTTTTAGTTGCACAATATTCTGTTTTGAAACTTTAATCTCTCATCAAGTTCTTTTGTGTGTTTGTGTGTGTGTGTGTGTTTTTTTTTTGTGTGTGTGTGTGTGTGTGTGTGCATGCATGTGCCAGTGTGCCAGAGGTTGACACTGGATGACTTCTTCAGTCACTTCACTCTTTTTGGCTTAAAAAAAATTGTTTATTATGAATAGTGTTCTGCCTGCATGTATGCCTGCCCGCCATAAGAGGGCACCAAATCTCATTATAGATGGTCGTGAGCCACCTACCATATGGTTGCTGAGAATTGACTTCAGGACCTCTGGAAGAGCAGCCAGTGCTCTTAACTGCTGAGCCATCTCTCCAGCCCCTACTTTTCTTTTCTTTTCTTTTTTTCTTTTCTCTTCTTTTCTTTTCTTTTCTTTTTGTGATAATTTTTTAAAATGTTGTTTGCATTGGTGTTCTGCCTGCATGTATGTCTGTCAGGGTGTCAGATCTTGGGGTTACAGAGAGTTGTGAGCTGCCATGTGGGTGCTCAGAATTGAACCTGGGTCCTCTGGAAGAGGAGTCAGTGCTCTTAACTGCTGAACCATGTCTTCGGCCCCAGGATTTATTTCCAAAGGGCAGACCTCCTAGACACTCCAGCCAGTGTGCTCCGAGTCCCCTCGGTGAGGACAGTGTGCTCTGAGTCCCCTCGGTGAGGACAGTGTGCTCTGAGTCCCTCGGTGAGGACAGTGTGCTCTGAGTCCCCTCGGTGAGGACAGTGTTCTCTGAGTCCCCTCGGTGAGGACAGTGTGCTCTGAGTCCCCTCGGTGAGGACAGTGTGCTCTGAGTGAGTCCCCTCGGTGAGGACAGTGTGCTCTGAGTCCCCTCGGTGAGGAAAGGTCTCCCACACTTCGTTCCTGTGCGGCCTTCTCATCTGAAGTGCCATGCACAAATCCTTATGGACACATTAACTTCTCTCTGGAATCTGGAATTCCAAACTTAAATTCATATTCCATGGCCACAATAGTCTCGACTTGGCCCAAACTGTCTGAGCCCGGGGCTTTAGATAACGCTAGGGAACTGAGAGTTTCCTGGGCCAGTCTTAGAGTTCTAAGACATAGAACTCGATCCTTGAATCCCTCTGATGTCAAAGAAGTGTGTCACTGTACTGGCAGGAAAAATGTGTGACCCCCAGCGGCACCTGCGCCAGTGCCAGAGACTGGCTGTGTAAGCCTCTTCCTGCCGGGGCACAGAGCGGTGCTGACGGCCGGGCCGGGCCGAGAGCAGCGAGGAGGTGAAGACACACAGTTGCCGTGGCTAAGCCAACCCAGGATGCACTTCATTTTATGTCTGAGACAAGGTCTTTCACTAGCCTGGAACTTGCCAGTGGGCTCCGGGCACCACCTGTCTATGCCTCCCCAGTGTCAGGATTCTCGGCAGGTGCCACTGGGCTTTTTCTGGCTGCTGGAGATCTGAACCTAGGTCCTTGTTCCTGCACAGCGGGCATTTTGCCAATGGAGGCATCACTCAGCCCCTCATCAATCTCGAGTAATTCAAGAGGCCCTGGGTTCCGTTTCAAACACTGCAAGAGAAAGGACGAAACCCTTAGTTAACACTTTGGGCGTTGCCTTGTTTTGTCTGCCCTTCCTCTGTTCTGCTGTTTGTTTCTAACAGGTTTAGAGGTTGTCTCAGGACCCCCTCGGATTTACAGTGAAGGTAACTTTCTTCAGCCAGGTCTTAGACTTCATGGGCAGCCCCGTTGGCCAGTGGCATCTCCGCTTTACTGTTCCTTTCCAGAGGAACTCCAGTTTTGAGCCTTCATGTTGGAGAAGCTGGAAGCACAGGGGGTAGATGCCTTAAGCCAGAGCCCTGGCAAGTGTTCTTGTTTCGTCGCTGTGGCAAAGAACCTGACAAAAAGCAACTTCAGGGGGAAAGAGGTTTAGTTTCGCTCACAGTTCCAGGTTACAGTGCATCACCGTGGGGAAGTTAAGGCAGGGACTTACCAACAGTCCCATCCCACCCATAGACGGTTGCTTGCCTGCGCTCAGCCTGACTCCTCCACTGTTGGACGGTTCAGGAGTCCCTGCCTAGGGAATGGTGCCGCCCACAGTGGGCTGGTAGCTTAATTAAGACATGCCCGCAGGCCAACCCGGTGCAGACAGTCTCTCATTGAGACTCCCTTCTCAGGTGGTTCTAGGTTGTGTCATTGACAATGAAAGCTAGTCAACACAGTGGGTGAGGGGCAGTTCCACTTGGAGAGTTCATGAGCATTTTTTCCCATAAGTTGTGAGTCCAAGGTACCTGTGTAATAAAGTATTTGTATAATGCTTATACAAACCCACACTTACTGTTATTAATATTGTAACTATTATTATTTTGGTTTTTTTAGAGACAGGGTTTCTGTAGCCCTGGCTGTCCTAGGACTCACTCTGTAGACCAGGCTGGCCTCGAACTCAGAGATCCACCTGCCTTTGCCTCCCAAGTGCTGGGATCACACCTGGCTTTAGAAAGCCCACGATTATTTGGCTCCTTGCTTACAGTCGTCCCCGTCCACCTTTAGAAGGGGCTTCTTGTTGACCCATACTTAGCCTAAGGAGCAAACATCTAAGTTCTGTAGAAAACACTAGACTGCTGTTTACTCGGGGCCTCATGATGGGTTCTGACTTCTTTCAGCTACCGCCAGTGTGACCCTTCTGTGAAGAGCTTGTACCAGACGGCCCCACTCTTTGGGATGTATTTCTCAGTGGAAAGAATTGGAAGCCTGAGAGTCGGAGACCCTGTGTATCAGATGGTGGATTAAAGAACCCAGCCGGGTGACATGGTAAAAGTTTCATTTTGTTTCTAGAACTCTGTGTTTTGACAACACAACCACAATTTCTTGTTTTCTGATACTTTAAAATTTTAAAAAAATATTTTGCTGGTTGGTGGTGGCGCATGCCACCTCCCCTTGAAGGTTCTAAATGGTTCCCCTTGCTAAACCTATTACCCAGCCTCTCCAAAGCACTGCTCTTCTTTTATGATTTACTGATTTTTAGCCAGGCGGTGGTGGCACACGCCTTTAATCCCAGCACTCGGGAGGCAGAGCCAGGAGGATCTGTGAGTTCGAGGCCAGCCTGGTCTACAGAGCGAGATCCAGGACAGGCACCAAAACTACACAGAGAAACCCTGTCTCGAAAAACCAAAAAAAAAAAAAAAAAAAAAAAATTTACTGATTTTTAGTTTATGTGTTTGAGTGCTTTGTCCGCAGGCCTGTATGTTTTGTGCACTGTATGCATGTAGTAGCTCAGAGGCCAGAAGAGGGTGCTGGATGAGAGGTTTAATTAGCTCATTGGTTCACAAGACCGAAAGTCCAAGGTTAGGTGGTCCCCTCGGTTTGGTCTCTGGTAAGGCTCCCTTGACGGTGTCACAGTGTGGTTGATGGTATCATGGTGCAGAGAGCTCACATGGTGAGACGGGAAGACTGGGTGGAGAGGGCCAAACTTCTCTTTTGAGACAAATATCTCTTCAGGGAGCAGGCAGGGTGTCAATGTCACCGTCCTATTGCTGTGAAGAGACAGCGTGACCAAGGCAACTCTTATAAAAGAAAGCGTTTGGTTTGGGGCTGGCTTACAGTCTCAGAGGCTTAGTCCATTATCATCATGGCCGCTGAGACCTACATCCTGATCTACCAGCAGAGAAAGGGCCAACCCCAAAGCCCACCCCCACTGACACACCTCCAACAAGGCCACACCTCTAATCCTTTTAAACAGTTCCACTCCCTAGTGACTAATACATGAACCCTATGGGGACATTCTGATTCAGACCACCAGACTGGGTATCTTAGTTGGGTTTCTATTGTTGTGATAAACACCACGATCAAAAACAACTTAGGGAAGGATTTATTTTGCTTGCACTTGAAAGTAACAAACTGGGCGAGAGAAGAGATGGCTCAGAGGTTAAGAGCACTGGCTACTCTTCCAGAGGTTCTGAGTTCAGTTCCCGGCAACCACATGGTGGCTCACAACCATCTGTAATGAGATCTGGTGCCCCCTTCTGGCAGGCAGGGGTACATGCAGACAGAACACTGTATACATAATAAATAAATAAATAAGTAAATAAGTAAATAAATAAATAAATAAATAAGTAAGTAAGTAAGTAAATAAGTAAATAAATCTTAAAAAAGAATAAAAGTAACAAACAGTCCATCACTGAAGGAAGTCAAGACAGAAACCCAAGCAGGGCAGGAACATGGAGGTAGTAACTGAGGGAGAGCCCATGGAGGAACACATCTTACTGGTTTGCTCCTCATGGTTTGCTCAGCCTGTTTCCTTCCCCTCTCTCTCTCTTTCTCCCCCCTCCCCTTCTTTCCTTTTTAAATTATTTATGACCAATAGTCTGAGTAACACAATAATAGAGATCTTATCATTTACTCAGCTTCCAGGTCCTAGGAGATACTTCTGCGAATCCTAACTGCCAGCCACGACCGTCTTCCTGAAAACGAATCTCCACTTTTCCTTCAGAGCTTCGGATGCCCTGAGTTAATTTGAGAAAGTACCAGAGGTGGTTTGAGAATGTGAGGGTGAATAAATTTTAGATAATGCTGTTTTTAAAATAAATAAAATTGTGTGTATGATTATTCTGAAAATACTCCCAGGATCACCTTTTCTAATTACTGCCTTTAATATTGCTGAGTAAAGAAAGTTTGGAGTCAACTTAAAAGCTGCCACATTTTTTAAGGTTTATACTTTTTAATGGGGATATTGTGTGCGAGAAATGGGAGAATGAGTCCTCACGATCTTATGTGCTCACAGATGCCTGTTCTTGGCCTGGCTGTTGAGCCCTGCTGAGTTTTTATTTATGGCTGTCTTTACCTTACAGAGCCAGGGTTCTGCTTAAATGTAGAAATGATTTCATAGATCATGGGGTTATTTTGTTCATAGATTGTATCTTTATATTTTCCTTCTGATTCTATTAATATGTATAAAATTTATCTCTAATTGTCAACTCCTCTAATTCCACAAGAAAATAGAATTTGAAAGCATACAATCTTTGGAAGTAGGAATGAGCAGGAGAAACCATGAACACATTTTTTAAAGTTCATATCTATTTTTCATAACAAAGATGAACTAGCTTGCTGTAAAAAGTAATGTAACATATAAATGAGTTAGGCCACTTAAAATTGTGTGGTTTCTTTGTCACTGGTAAGCGTGAATCTCTTCCTACTTCATCTGTGACATTTGCTTCTGGGTTTCTTTTCATCTTACAGAATCATTGTCACATATCTTCCCTGGTTCCAAACATTACCTCTTGCCACTGGTGTGTACAGGGCACCTTGAACTACATGAACATGACTGTCTAAGCCAGTGGTTCTCAACCTGTGAGTTGCAACCCTTTGAGAGGTCAAACGACCCTTTCACAGGGGTCGCATATCAGATATCCTGAATAGCAGATATTTACATTACGATTCATACCAGTAGCAAAATTACAGTTATGAAGTAGCAATGAAAATAGTTTTATGGTTGGGGGTCAGCACAGCATGATGATCTGTATTAAAGGGCTGCAGCATTAGGAAGGTTGTAGACTCTAAGGCATTGTGGCTGATGACTTCAAGAGACATCTAATAGTCACCAGGGGGCAGCGGTTGCTTCCTTCTGTGCATAAGGCTGTGGGAACACAGAGCAGGTGACAACGAGTATTTAACAGGTCAACACACCAGACTAATAATGCTCTGTTGGGGAGCCCCACTAGGCAAAGTCCATGGCTGTGGAAACCGGTTGTTTTCTGTCTATAACCACTTACCTCCCTAAAAAGAACAGCTGTGGGGTTCTTTCCACAGCCCACTAGTAGTGTGTTTTGTATCTTTTGGGCATGCTTATTAGCTGTGGATGGTCAGGAAGATGATTTCTGCTTAAGCTGTATAATTCTGATAATACTAGAATGTTTTTCATAACTGACACAGGAAGAAACAATATTCTCAGTCACAAAGACAGCTAATTTTGGACTTCAGAACAAATTCAAAACAGACTAGCTGAGAATACACAAGGACAAATTCCCAGATGTTTATTGCTAAATCAAGGTCAGACATGAAGCAACTTTGGTGGACATACTCTCTGCAGTAATTCTCTTTCTGCACGTACCCCTACCACTCAAGGTTCAGCCAACTACTGTTGTTGTTGTCCTGAATGTCATTCTCTGTCTGGGAACGCTAACCAACCACTCAGGCTACATGCTTGGCCAAGCATTACCCACTGGCTGGTCAGCATGACCTTCCTAGCTCAAGAAAAACTATGTGACTTATCATGTGTTATGAGAATGGGTCGGGCCCTGAAAATGTAATGTATAGCTGTCCAGAGAGTGTGCTGAAAGCCGGCGGTGGTGGCGCACGCCTTTAATCCCAGCACTCGGGAGGCAGAGGCAGGTGGATCTCTGTGAGTTCGAGGCCAGCCTGGACTACAGAGGGAGTTCCAGGAAAGGCACAAAACTACACAGAGAAACCCTGTCTCGAAAAACAAACAAAACAAAACAAAACAGAGAGTGTGCTGAAAGGGAGAAAGGGTGAGTGTGTGTAAGCAATGTGTGGGTGTGCTGAAAGGGAGATGTAGCATCGTGCAGAAGAGGTGTGTGTGGAGACGTGTAGCTATATATAGAAATATATGGCTGTGCAGGAGAAAGATGTGTGTGTAGGGCAGAAATGTGTGTGTAGAGGAGAGAGAATGAGTGAGGGAATGAGAAATGTAGAAGAGAAATGCAAGTTATGAATGAAGGAATGTAGCTGGGTAGAGAGAAGCATGTATAGAAGAGAGCTGTGTAGGAAAGAGCTGTGGGTAAAGAGAAATGTATCTTACAAGAGATACAGCTGTAGGTATAGAGATGTAACTATGTAGAGACGGAGATTGTCAGAAGATTTTTTTTCAAGATGAAGTAAAAGAGAATTACCCTCAAATCGTATGTGAATTATTATAGAAAGGAAATCTTTCTATCCCTGCTCTTGAGAAGTTTTTCTCTGAGTAATCTTGGGTAGCAGTTCTGGGAGCTGGACTCCCAGGCTGTTAATACTGCCTTTGCCTTTGCTGGATTCTGGGCCTGAGTTCAACCCCTCCGGCTGTGAGGTAAAAGTGGTAGGCAAGCTGTATCTTGGGTACCTTTTGGAAATGGTAATTTTTTTTTAAAGTCATACTCAGTTTCAAGTCAGCCATTAAATTTTAAGCCATTTTCCCCTTTACGTTTCCAAAGAGAAACAGAAAGGATGATAAACACACTGAGCCTTCGGGGCCTTCAAGATGCCTTTCCACAGAGAACTCGAGCCTTGCCTGGTCCCCAGGGGCACCTGTCACTGCTCTACCGGTTCTACTTCTCTGTGACAACAATCCCCAAGAGAACAACTTGAAGGAGGAGGATTCATTTGTCCCATGGTTCCAATGGTTCCATCCGTGGTTGGCGGAGTACCACCTGTGGGGACATGTGGCAGAGGGGGCATTCTTAACTTGATAAGCATAGGAAGAAGATGGACAGGAAGGGTCCCAGTGCAGGGAACCCCCCAAGAGACTTTCTCCTCAGCTAGGCTGCACCTCTTAAACGTCAGCCTCCCCAGACAGTGTCACCAGCCGGCGACATGAGAGCTAGAAGGTGGCTTTCAAGTCCAGCCACAATAAACAGCCCAAACCCTGGGAAGCAAGATGACCAGGCAGCTGAGTGCAGTGACCTCAGAACTCTGATCATCTCTGGGTGCTGTGGGAGTGAGGAGTGGCAGAAGCTGAGCCATGGGCAGGAAAAAGTATTTAGGTGTATGGCAGGGCACCTACCGTCATAGGACAGATCCTGAGTACCAGAGGGCCCCAAAGTGAGCTAGCTGCCAGCTGAGGCAGGACTGTCCATCACTGTCAAAAGATCATGAGGATTTCAAGTCAGGAGAAAGAGTCAGTGCTTGCTAGCATTCTGCTTTCTCACACAGTCTTCACAGGAACCCCAACTCGACCACAACCTGAGGTCCTCAGAACCCTGTGAAATCTCTTCCTGGGAGACGGACTCCCGTCTGGCTGGTATTAGGCTTCTAGCCTTTTCCTTCTCTCAGTCAGAGACTTGGGGTGGGGAAAGGGGGGTGTTCCAGTTTCTTGGGGTCCACTGCTTCAATAGTCAGATAGCCAGAGTCAGGGCAAAAGCTTCTCTTCAGAGAAATCTTCATTCCTGCCTTGTGGCTGGCAGCCACTCACATGCTTCCCCGCCCACCACGGCTGTCAAATCCCTTGCTCCAACACAAAGTCCAATCACCCTGCCCTATGTAGTAGAGAAATAGCTTTCTCCCGGTTACAACAGTCTTGAATAAAGACTTGACATTTTAACAACTTGACACTTCAGACGGGAGCCTGAGGTGCCTAAGGTACCTTGTTGGCCTTGGCTTTGTTTTTTAAGATAAGACAGTGACAAGTGTCAGAGCTCACCTTATGGGACCTGCAGGGAAAGAGCCTGGGGGCTTGTCTAAGGGCTAGTTCTGGTCTCAGGCTGTGCAGATAGCTCTGAGGCACCAGGCGTGGAGAAGCAGACCTGGCCCGGCCCTGGAGAGCCTCAGGGCCTAGGCAGATCTTTCCACCTTCAGATCCCAGCTGGCTGGAAGCTCCTCCGCTGCCAAAGTGCTTGCTCCCCGCAGTCCCCAGAGGGGCAGTTGCCCAGCAGCCAGATTTCTAATTTCAAAGCCACACCATGTTTAGGCAAACGTTGTGTGTTTTAGGTCAAATAAACAACCCTACAAACGCGTAAATAAGCCGTTCTCCTACACTGATTGATCATCGGGGGAGGGTCGGGGTGAGTGAATGGGGAGGGGGGGAGGAGGGAGGGAGAAAGGGCAGGAGGGAGGTGGGGACAAAGCCACCACCTCCCGCCCAGGCCGAGTGAAGATGCTCAACTTGGATTGGCGGGGAAGGGTCAGGAGCTACAGGGCCCTGGGCTCAGGCCCAGGCCCAGGCCATCCGGGACAGTCGCTTTTAGTCCAGCCGGTGTATCAGCAGCGCCCGCCCGGCCCGCTCCGACCATGGATGCCTCTGGCTCCTCGATTCTGACCCGGGTCGCCGCGCTAGGACTGGCCGCGGTGGCGCTGGGGATCGTGGCCTGGCGTCGCACGCGTCCCCGGCCGCGCCAGCGGTTGCGGCAGGTGGGGACGGTGTCCCAGCTCTGGATCTACCCGATCAAGTCCTGCAAGGGGGTGTCGGTGTGCGAGGCCGAGTGCACCGCCATGGGGCTGCGCTGTGGCCACTTGCGTGACAGGTACGCGGAGCCCGGCGCTGCGCCACACTGACCTAGGCTGTGTGGGTGCGGGGAGGTAGAGGAGTCTCCTCACGGGGCCCTTCCTTCCCAGACAAGGGACCAGGAGCTAGGGAAGGGTGCCGGGAACCGGGGGTGGGGGGTCGGGGGGAGTGACCCTCACCCTCCACCAGCCAACTCCCGGGGAGCTGGATCTCTGAAGTCTGCAGATTTCTCACTTCCAGGAGAAAATCTTGTGTTCCTTATGAGATGTGCCCCACGCCGGCCAATCCGCAAGCAGAAACTTCAAACTCCTTCCACCTACACAGCCGGGAGGGACTGGCCCTTGGTCGCTTTACTTTTAACTTTTTATTTTAAACTCGATAGAGAAACCAAGACAATTGATCCTAGAGCGCAGGGGGCACCTAGGCTCGGGTCATCATTATCGCCGCAGTTGAACACTTTCTTGCAGTTAAAAATAACAATAATCTGCAAGTGTTATTTCCCCCTGGCTCTTGTCAGATAAAGAAAAGCTCCACCTGGGATTGGGGGTGGGGTGGGGGGAACTGAACCTGAGATTTGTGCTGTCTTTAGCCACTGAGATTTTGTAAACAGCCATTAAAAGTCTGGTTTAGGCCGGGCGGTGGTGGCGCACGCCTTTAATCCCAGCACTCAGGAGGCAGAGCCAGGTGGATCTCTGTGAGTTCGAGGCCAGCCTGGGCTACCAAGTGAGTCCCAGAAAAGGCGCAAAGCTACACAGAGAAACCCTGTCTCGAAAAACCAAAAAAAAAAAAAAAAAAAAAAAGTCTGGCTGAGGAGTGATCGGGTGTAGACTCCAAGGCTTCGGGGAAGGACATCTCTGCCCCTTTGGGTCTGGACATCACTGGAAGGCCCCCTTTTAGGATCCTCAGAGCCTCTCCTTCAGCAGGTGCTGTAACTTCCGCTCTCAGGTCTCTAAAGCTAACAACACCAGCCTGTAGCTGACCAGGCCAGCCCAGTGGACATGCCGATAGACCGGCTCAGGGAGAAGAAAGGGAGATTCTTATCCCAAACCCTTCTTGTCCCTTGGCTGATTTGAGGCGGCTTTTACGAAAGGTTGGTGGGTGGTTGTGGGCTGGTGGGTCCCTCCTCATGGTGTGGACCTTGTCTTGTGTGACCCTTGTGCTTTGCAGTTCTCCATGTCTCGGGAACAAAGCTCATTGGGGGCTGGAGGCGGCTGCGCCAAGGCCATCTGGCTGGTTGCCAGGCTCCCTGCCTTCCAACCCCCGCTTGAAAACGCACTAAACGCTCCCTCCTTTTACCCAGACACAGCCGTTCCCAATAAAGTCTAAAAGTGAGCCGCTCACTTCCGCTTCAGGCAGTCAGGGAGCCTAAATATTCCCGGCTTTGTAGGGTGGGCTCTCACATACGGTAGCTTATTGACGTTAGTTTCTGTCAGCCCCAGAGGCAAAGGGCATTGACATTTGACTATCTGACTACCGCATCGATTCAGAAAACATGTTTCGAACTTGGCCCGCAGCTGTGGTGGCAAACTCGTCACTTTTGTCACAAGCTCCCAGGGAACTTAGGCAGAAAATAAAGAAACAACAACCAAAAAATCCAACCAATCAACCAAAATAATAATAATAATAATAATAATAATAATAATAATCAGCTTCTTCACCGGGGGACTGTGGCTAGTGCTGGGAAACAGAGGAAGGGTCCCAGAGGCTATCTGGGGGGCACTCAGGAAGACTTTCTTTAGCAAAGGAGGTCAGCGGTTTACACTGAAAACTAGAAAATGGTTAGACACTTTCCAGGTAAGTCGGTACAGCATTCTAGCGGGCTGGGCATAAATCCCAGGCTTAAAGACGGGCACACTCTGCTGTGTTCCCAGGAGGAGTGCGGAACAGGCTTGAATATAAGGGAGTGCTTTTTTGCAACATTGAAACTTGACTGTGCACAGCATCAAGTAAGAAGTGGACAATGGGCTCGGAGAGCACGTAAGATGTGGTTGATGCAGATGGTGGAATGTCACCCAGCTTTGGAAAGGAGTGGAGGTCTGGTGCCTGCCATAACACGGATGAACAATGAGAACAGAACGCTGATTTAAATGAGCAGGGCAGAGGGACCAGCTGTGCTGTTCAGGTCCAATCGCTTGACTCCAGATTCATAGAAAGTGGAGGCTCTGGGGCTGGAGGAGGCAGGAGTGGCGAGCCATTGCTCAGTGAGTGCAGTTTGGAAAGATGGAATCTTGTATAATATTAGAGGGACCAGTCTCAATATTATACATCCCAGGGGCTCAGGAGAGAGAACTACTAATGGCGAGGACTATTTTCAGGAAATAGAATCTCAGCACACCGAGCTCTATAGTCCACTTGCTTTAATTCCTCTGGCATAACATCCTTTATACACAGCTTCAGTTCTGTTCTCGTGTCTAGCTCCTTTCTTGCCTGATTTCTCTATATTTATCT